AGACGAGACCGTATGATGTTAAGAAGAGAAAATTGAAGTGTAATCGTTAAAGGCAAATGTATGAATGCTTTCTACACGCGGTAGCGTAGTTGCTCAGCAAAGAGAATCTCTGATTGGATCTCCCACGAAGAAATTCCCAGGGAAGTTTCGTCCGCGGGCCCCTGCGGCATAATTGGCCACTAATTAATGGCCGCAGGGCAATCGAATTTCCAGCAACTTTCTCCCTTCGCGGGAACCCCGAGCACAGGAGTAAGCGATATGACTGCGTCGTTTTCCCTTCAAAGATTAAATTATGCTTCCAGAAAATGAAGTCTTGCTGGAATAATCTATTACATACTTTTTTCCCTCGATATTTCATATAATTTCATATAACTATATCCGTCAATATACTCAACTTTCTGATTAATAATCGTGCAAGGCATAGCAAATATTGGATATCGTTTTCTTATAACGTTGACCACTCGTTCGTTTATTCGCAATCTATTTATTAGAATTATTATTGATAAGCTATTTTATAGGACAGAAATCGTTGATTTAATTTTATGCTTTTCAATTTAGTATTTGTTAAATCACGTAATATTTCGTTGTACTATCTTTCCGTTTGTGTCGTAACAAATGGAAATTGGTTTGGACACTGAGTTTTCGAGTGATGGTCGACACAAACGATACGGATGAAACAATAAAACACGTTTGAATTCATTCGCGTTTAAGCTTATTTATGCTGTTGTTCGATTGCGTGAGTGGAATTGATGAAACAATTATTTCTCCTGCTGTTTCATCGTTAATAACTATAACGTAATCTTGATAAATTGGATCGATCGAAAAATTATAAAATATAACGTGGTAAAGGAAATTGACGAAATTGTGTAACACTTATATAAGATGCTTGTTCTGATTGAATTTGCTAGTAGTCATTAGAAACTGTAAACTAAAATTTTTATTAAATATCAGGTCTATTGTAATGCATCATAAAAATAACTACAACATTATACATAATTTATTTCTGTGTTAAAGAAGAATTGCTCCATCTTTGCTTTGCATACTATACAAATCTTTGAGCAATTTCAGATATTAAAATATTCGCGCTTTCAATACAAATGGTAATTATTACACGTAGCAAAGTATCAATAAATTTCTACGTTAAAGAAGAATTGCTCCATCTTTACTTTGCATACTATACAAATCTTTGAGCGATTTCAGATATTAAAATATTCGCGTTTTTAATACAAATGGTAATTATTACACGTAGCAAAGTATCAATAAATTATATATTAAATTATAGTATGTATCTTCGATCTATTTAACATAACATAGTTTGACGAATATGATTGTTATAAATGTTTAACTTTTTACGATGATTTCTATCAATTTCTTCTAATTACTGGAACAATCTTTCTTGTTATTCCAATACGTCTTTTACGCACAGATGCTCACATGATAATTTATTATTTTTTCTCATTGATTTCTCCACTTAAACTTCCACGATAATTATAATTAGATGAAAAGTATGGAAAGGACTTAGCGATCATAATATTTATTTTATCAAAGCGTATAGAGTGACCATCTCGATATTACAGTCGATTGTAACGACAAATTTTCTATTTAATTTCCTCAAGTCCCGATCAAGCACAATTATCCGTTTGAAATTTTGAAACGGTGTCGCAAAAATCGAGACAACGAATACGACACTTTCACTGTACGAGCATTTTATGAAGTACAAATATTTATAGCATAGCATGGGTTTATAACATTGATCCATAACCCGACAATTCCATAAGGTACAGTAAAGGGAAAGGAAAAGATCTCGCTTATGTGGCTCGATTTTCATAAAATATGTATACGCATGTATCGTAAAATCTGCCAAGACGTAACAATCGAGCGAAGCACCTAAAGGTAGATGCTTTTTCCTGTCCGCTTGTTACCAGGAAATACGTTCCAATTTTTACTATATACCGGTTGACTAGATCTATCCGTAGCGTTTCTAAGTTTCTCGTATCCCTGCGACTGCTTCGTCCTCCGGGGATGTTCCCTTTTTCACGCGAGATCGTGAAATCCCGCCCAATTCCCGAGAACAATTTTCTGCCTCGATATGTTCTCGTATACAAGACACGTGTGCTTTCTTTTACATGTGAACTCGATGTCTGTCACAGGCTGGGTAAACGTATGCGCGCGAACATGTTTGTCCGTGTCAACGGCAGTGGAACGTAAGAAAGATTGCGTCGATAGGCAACGTGTTATCCCGATAGATCACATGGATATACGGTATCCAGTTCTTCCAGCGAGTTTCATCTGGTCGCAAACATCATGCAAATTAGATTTACTCTTACGATCAAATTACATTAGATACTTGGATATACTTGTGATTAGTTTGTGGCTATTTGCGCAAAAACATACTTTTATGAACGCAACGAGGCAGATATAGAGTCTAAATAGGCTTCTGTTTTATTCTTTACATATTGCAACTAACATCCCACTTGGAATATTTTGTATACTTTTGTACGTTACATTATACGTTCTATGCATTTTTGCGTATTTAATACTACAACTACCGGTAGTTAACACGAAGCTATTTCTACCAAAACCAGTGAAAATGACTGAATGTTAAAAAATATGTAATAATAGAACATTTTTATATTTATTGATTTATTACTTTCTTACAGAAGGAATTCAATGTTATGTAGTAGATTTTTTTATTAATCCATCTGGGATTCCTAAACGAGGGCTGACACATTTATAAAATTGTAGAACCAATCATTTTGACTGGTGTGGTATTTCTAGTGTTAGCATCTAGCGCTCTAGCGATCGATCTGGAATTTTCCTGATAACTGATATCGTCATATCGAATAATACGCAATAAAAATTTTAAAAACGTGTGGCAAGTTGTACAAAACGAGGGAACTGGTTGATTGGGGTTCGATAAATAGATTGCAAGACCTTTTTACACTTTGGCAAGTACCAGTTGACCAATACCATTTTGACTGGTATTGGTATAAGTAGCCTTGATACAAAATTATTTTCAGTTTGAATACATAAAAGACAAAATAAAATTCACTATATTATTCATTTAGTTATCGTTGCGAAAATCATTAAATCATTGCGGAAAGAAAGTATAACATGAAGTAGGAATTGTATAATAAAATTGTAAAACCAGTCAATTTGAGTGGCGTGGTAGTTCTAGTGTTAAATTCCATACAAATGCATAGATATTCGCAGCCTATTTATGATTCAAAGTATATCAAAACGTTTCTGGTAAAGTTGAATTTTTCAGAGAATCGAATAATTCTTTTTTTTTTTTTTTTTTTTTTTT